CGGGGGCTCGGAGCAGCTCTCTTCACTTGGGGAAATCAGTGCCTTTGGCTTTATTTCTCTGCCTCATCACCTCACAGTTTTTAATCAGTGCGTTTCAGCAGCTCTCCTTAGAAAATTGGTTCACCCATTTCCATTACAAACATTTCTTTGTCTTCAAGTGAAAAGGGCACTTCTCTTCTCCCCATCGAGAAAATTCTCATTATCATCCAGGAAACCTCTGACTAGAGATTTCTTTTATCGGTTCAGCTGTTTGTGCCGAGTGCATTGAAGAGCTTTGCTGCATGTTTTACTTGGCGTAGGCTCACTTGCTCTGTTACACACGAGTGTACTTGGGTTCATCCAAATTGGTTAGCCCATGGAATCTTCAAGCGGTCAGAGCACTTTACAGAGGGCCCGGTCCTTTACCCATGAGTAAAGTACCTGATGCAACTGAATTCTGTTTCTCTCATCAATATTTATAAAGCAGCATTCCCTGCCTCCCACCCCTAACACCTTCATTAGACATCAGACTCCAGCATGTGTCTCCTGTGTAGACAGCCCGGGGTGTCATCCGAGAGGAGGGCTTATTAAACTAATAGCCACGCCACGCAGTGAGCAGTAAACAGTGGTGGCTAATATGGTAATGATTCCAAGTGACAGCAGCTGACAGTCTTTTCAAGTAGAATAAGTAAGGAACAGCAGTAGAGATATTTGAGGAATGCGAGCCTGTTATTTTAATGTTAAGCTGTAAGCTCAAAAAAGCAAAGCATATGGCAGCAGGTCTGAGAGCAGCCGATGACTTGTTTGCTTTTTAAATATTTGTATTTCTTCCTATGTGATGGGAAACTTCTTCCCAAGAATACTTTATTAAAAGTTGGGGCCAGATGTAGTTGTTGGATCCCGTGGTTTCTTTCCAAACCCGGGGTAAAACATTTCAACACCAACCTAAACAAGATGATGTGGGCACCTGTCCCGAATGCTGAGCAGTAGTATCTGTTTGTGACAGGCTTGTCTCCTGCAGAATCGTAGACTCTCGGAAGCCTGGGAGCGCCTCACGTTTCTTGCGTGCGATCAGCCAGACGCAGATTGAGGACGTGGCTGATGTTTCCTCCATACCTGCCAGATGGAGGGGAGGGCCCTTGCCACAGTCGGGCTGAGGCCTGTTTAACCGTTGGATAGTTCAACTGTTGAACGGAGAATTGATTTAGCTGGCCTCTTAGCCTGAGGCTGAGAATCATAGACCCATTGGTCCCTGTTAGGCTCCCTCAAGGTACTTAAACACCAACTTCTATCATTTCCTGGTGACAGTGAGGGTAATACTTGAGAGACCGGCCGCATTTGTAATGGTAATCACTCAGTAGTTGGTAGGAATTCATATTATCAGGATGACTAGTACTTCTCCAGTGTTCTCAAATACGATATTTTAGAATCCTTTAAAATTGTTGTCATTAGATATTGAGCGAAAGCCAAAGGATACTTCTTAAATATATTTAAAATAATAATATGACTAACACATATACCCACTTCTTAGTTTAAGAAATAGAAGATAAATATTGCCTATGAATTTCCTCTGTGCCCGTGTATCCTATCCCCTTACCTCTCTAACATCTCCGGATGTTAACCACATCCTGAATTCTAGGCGGGGCATTCCCTTGTGTTTCTATACCATATATGTTCGCACTCCCAAATAATAAAAATTTCTAGTTTTGCATATCTAAAAATTTTTAATGGAATTGTATTGAATATGTCCTTACGCTGCTTGCTTTTGTCGCTGAACATTACTACGTTCCGGAGGTTCAGTGTTCCGGAGGTTCATCCTTATTGCGTGCAGCAGCAATGTATTCCTTTACACTGATACATAGTATTTTATTATATAAATATACCATGGTGTATTTTTCCAGGCTGTTGGAAATGGATATACGGTTTGTTTGCAGTTTTCAGCTGTTAGGAGCAGAGCTGCTGTAGATACTCCCGTATGGGTCTCCTGGCATACAGGTGCACGTACTTCTCTGGGTATGACCTGGGAGTGAGATTGTTGGGTCATAGGATATGTGCCTCCTCAGTTTTACCAAATAATTCCAAACTGTGTTCCGAAGAGTCTGTGCCTCTTTGCACTCCCAGCGGCGTGCCCAAGAGCCCGTGGGCTTGCACGCACCAACACCCCGCCCCTGCCCCCGTGTTTCAGACTTATTTTTGGCCTCGTGGTTGCTGGTTAATGGTGTCACGTTCTGAGTTTAAGTGGCATGATGAGGTTGAACACCTTTGTCTCTGTATATTGGCCTTTCAGCTTTTCTGTTCGGTGAAGCACAGGGAGAAGTCTTTCCTCTTTGCTAATTGGGTTGACTTTTTCATGCCAACTTGTAAAAGTTCTTTATATATTATGGTTACAAGGCCCTTTGTTGGTTACGTGTGTCGCAAAAATCATCTTCTCATCTGTGACTTGTTTTCTGATGAACAGAAGTTCTTATTTTTAAAGTAGTTGCATTTATCAACCATTTCCTTCATGGATTGTACTTTCTGCATCTAGTTTAAGAAACCTTCCCTTCCCTTCTCCGGGGTCACGAAGACAGTCTCTTAAGTTGTATTCTAAGAGCTCTTTTGTGTTACCTTTCACACTTAAATCTAAGGGTCCATCTGGAAATGATTGTTTGATGTCTGTATGGTGGGAAGGATTCAGTGTAGTGTTCCCCCACATGGATACCCCATTGTCCCAGCATTGTGTACTGGAAAGATCCCTTCCCTGTTGCTCCTTGTGCTACTTTTGTCTTAAATCAGATGCCCATATGTGGGTGGGGGGGTCGGGGGGTCGGAGGGGGACGATTTCTGACCTTTCTACTTGGTTCTTTCAGTGTGCCATCTATGAGTGATTGCATTCCTACAACTTTATTATATGTGAGGTAGGTCCCTCCCTGTATCTTGCTCTTCAGGAGTGTTGTGGCTATTTCAGGCCTTTGAGTTTGCATATAAATTTTTGAATCAAGTTTGTCAAGTTCAACAACAACAAAAAAATCTATTGGAATGACATTTAATCTAATAGCTCAGCTTGGGGAGAATTCTGTATTTGTGACAGTGGGTCTTCTAATCCATGGCCATTATATCTAATTATTTAGGTCTTTAAAAAATACTTTTTAATGAAGTTTTACAATTTTTCTTATAAATATTTTGCCCATTTTTTACTAGATTTATTCCTAGTTACCTGAAAAAATTTCCATTTGTGTACACTGTATGTATACAGTCTTTTTTTCTTTATCAAATTTACTATCTACTTGTTACTAGTGTATAAAAAGGCAGCTGATTTTTGTACATTCTTGACCCAACAACTCAGCTAAACTCGTGTTAATTCTAACAATTTATATATAGATTACTTTGGACTTTCTATACAATGACTTTTATCTGAAATTAAAATTTAATTTCTTTATCTCTAATCCTTCAACTTTTTAAAATTGGCCTTACTGGACTAGGTAGGACCTTCAATATAGTTCAATAAAATTCTTTCAGTATTTTACCTTTAAGAATTATGTTTGTTACAAGTTTGTTTATAGATACTATTTAAGAAGTTAAGGAAATTTCCTTCTTCCTGGTTTGCTAAGAGTTGATCTTTTTAAATCATGAATTGATACTGAATTTTATCAAATGCTTTTTCTATATTTATTGAGATAATTGTATGGTTTTGCTCCTTTAACCTGTGAATGTTATATTAATTGATATTTTTAAATGTTAAATTAACCTTGCATTCCTGGAATAAGCCCAACTTGATGATGACGTATTAGCTTTTTTTAGTGGATTCAGTTTACTAATTTTTTAGGAACATTTATATTTGTTCATGTGTGAAATAGCTTGCAATTTTCCTTTCTCATTGTATACTTGTCAGGTTTTGGCATCAAGATTGGGCCAGCCTCATAAAATAAGTTGGAATAGTTCTTTTTTGTGTGTTTTAGAATCGTTTGTGTAAGATTGGAGTTATCTGTTTCTAGAATAATAAGTTTCGGGAGAATTTGCCTGTAAAACCGTCTGGCACTAGTCTTTTTTCTATGGAAAGACTTCTTATGCTTTTACAAAAATGATTATAGGATATTTAGGTTTTCTGCTGCTTCTTTTATTAAGCTATGTATAACATAGAAGCTAAAATATATATAATATATGTATATATCTTAAG